ATACACACATATACACAGTATATGTATATATATATAATTATTTTTTTCTTTAATATATACATAATAAAATAATATTTTTACTTTAACTGTATATTTAGTCATCTGCCTGGTGTTCAGCTTTAACTACTGGGGAATCCACAATCTTTGGCTCATTGTGTAACTGCAGTGTCTACTTTAGCTCATACTTGGGGATCTGCCATACCCCCAACCAGCTATCCAATTAGAGAAATGTTATTGGCAACTGATTTGCTGTCATTGAATTGAAGGATGGTGGAGCTGGGACTTGAAGTCAGCTGACACCGCAACTGCACTATGTGCCAAAAATTAGAAGTTCCCCTTCTGCATAGATGAGCATTGCGACCCAGACACTGCCTATCAGCTTGCAGTTGTGTCCTCCTTTTAGCATGAAATTACTGATAATATAAAATCCCGCACTTATTTTTTTAGCCAAATGTGAAAACTGTCCACTGTCTCACTAGGTGTGAAGGTATTGTAAAATGTTGATGCATTTTTGTAACTCTTTGATACAGAACGTAACTTGTGCTTTAAGCATACAGCTCCTTAAATGATCCTTACACCCAAAATGTATATTTTATTTGATATATTAATTACAGGTGGATCTACTGCTGTGTACTACACTCTAGAGAGCTCCACAACTCAATCACCAGATTAGCTCAGTTATCATGTCCTTTATGTTGTCTAACACTTCCCGTTGCATTTTTCCTTTGATATCTCATTATGGACAATACACCAGGAGGAGTGAAACTCCATGGCAGTAGGGGGAGAACGGCAACTCCAGCACTGAGTTATAGCCACGGGATCCGACAGGAAGGGATGGTTTTGTCCTGTTGCTCTGCCTAGTCTTAGTTGAGTGGAATCTTTATTTGGTTTTAATATTAGAATTTTGATGTTATGGGTATTGGGATTGATAGAATAAGACAGCAATGTGTCCATCTGAATTGTCTAAATATTATAACTTCAATGCAGATTCAGAACACACTTTTGGGAAGTAAATTTAGATTTTATTTGAAGGGTCAACCCACCCAAAACTATTATTTTCATCTTTACTACATGCTGGAGGGTTAACCAACCTAACCTTCTTTATATCTCTCAGAGACTCTGCCAGTCCGATATCTGGATTTGGGATTTGCAAAGACGTATAACAGCCCACCACAATCCCCCTCATGTGACATTTCAGATTGTGGCGGGACTGACCCTCTAAGCGTACAAACCGAACATCTCCTTACCAGCGTGAAAGGCGTGTTCAACAGTGTAATCATAATATCCGCCACGGCCAGGTTGACGATGAACAAACTAGTTGCCGAGTGCATCCTTTTGTTTTTGATGACCACGTGGCACACCAAGACATTCCCGAAGAGTGAAAAGACGATGATGAAAGAATACGCCACGATTAGAAGCGCCTTCACCATGGGGTTTTGGGATTCCACCCCGTAGCGCCTGTTCTCGATGAAGTTCTGCCACTCGGCCAGGCTGTAGTTATTCCAGCTGAACAAGGAGCTGTTGGAGAGCTGGATGGACGCCTTTAGACTGCCGTTGAAGTTTAAACTTTCTGATGGCTTCGGCGTTCTGGATAAGCCCAGAAGAATTAGCCATAGGAGATGGGAAACCATGTCTGACCAGCTGTGTCCCTTAATGAAAAGCATGGAAAAGGCATGGGATAATTAAGTGGCTATTCCAGACAAGGAAGAAGAAGCAGCAAAACTGTGCAGGCTCACTGTGGCGTGGATGTTCATAACTGAATGAAGGATGACTACAGCATCACTGTCAATCACAGCAGCAACAGATGTCCCCAATGCTCAGTGCAGGCTCTCGCCCCCAGCATCTGTCTCCTTGCTGGTCCTCGCTCACAGCACACTTATATTACATACAAGCACACACAGATCTCAGGCAGCTGGATATCCAGCCCTCCGTTTATTGGGCTGCAGCCTATTTGCCATTGTGACGTATCAGAATCCCCCCTACTTTATCTGATTAAAGACCTGCCCTCTGCCACTTGGAGATCTCTAAATGCAAAGAACGTTAAGGAAAATGAAAGAGCCTCGCACACCAGTCCACAGAATTCCCTAATGTCTCTGCTAGCATACTGTCATCACAGAACAAAAGGCTTAGGATTGTATTGGTATGGATCATTTGTCTTGCACTCATCGGAATTCGGCAGCAAGGGCTGGTATAGTTATGTTGCTCTGACTGGTCTTAGCTGAGTGGAATCTTTCTCTGGTTTAATATTAGGATTTACATTTTATCGGGATTGGGTTTGATAGGTAAGACAGCTCAAAACTGTTTAGAATCTAACAGGGCTATTCACAAAAGGGTGATGAGTTTGGAGACGGCAGGAGAAGTGAACAATCTAGGACAACATAGCTGAACTGGAAACATTCTCCAATTCAGCTCACTCTCCAGCTCAGCTATGTTGTTCTAGATTGTTCACTTCTCCTGCCGTCTCCAAACTCATCACCATGAGTGAATAACCCTAATGGTTTTATAACTGCAATTCAAAACACTCTTCTGGATCTAGATTTTATTGAAAGTGTCAACCCACCCATACCTGATATTTCCATATTTACTGCATGCTGGAAGGTTAAAGTGACACTAAACTCAGGAGTTAAATCTTAAAAATACATTCAAGTACCTTAAATATTAACAACAATATATATTATTTGTGTATCACTCGGCTGTAGATCCTCAAATCATCTCAGAATTGGTGCTGACACTGTCCTTCCTTCTGGAGGATGACTACTTTCGTTCCCCATGGTCCCTGTGTGTGTTGTAAAGTAGCCACCGCTCCAAGCTCACTCCCGTGATGGACTGCAATCTCAATACAAATTAGTAAACTCAACGTGAGATTGTAGTCCATCACGGGAGCGAGCGGGCAGTGTCAGCATGAATTCAGAGGAGATTTCAGGATCTACAGCCCAGAGCTACATTTTTATTAATGGGTTTTTTTAATACATTTTTACGATTTAACTCCTGAGTTTAGTGTTTAACTTGAACAGCGTCTGATACGCCTACGTGCAAAAACGATGAATGTACTACATGTTACATATCACCTGCGAATGTTGGCATTTAAAGCGTTGCCTATAGGACATTTTGGGTATTGTAGTTTTTTGCAATTTCACAGGCATTTGCAATTATAAGGCTTGACATGTTTGGTGTCTATTTACCCAACGTGATCTGTTGGTCAGATATCTGGACTTGGGGTTCAAATAAGTCAGTAAGGTGAGCATCTTGACTTTGGACGCCTTTAGACTGCCGTTGAAGTTTAAACTTTCTGATGGCTTCGGCGTTCTGGATAAGCCCAGAAGAATTAGCCATAGGAGATGGGAAACCATGTCTGACCAGCTGTGTCCCTTAATGAAAAGCATGGAAAAGGCATGGGATAATTAAGTGGCTATTCCAGACAAGGAAGAAGAAGCAGCAAAACTGTGCAGGCTCACTGTGGCGTGGATGTTCATAACTGAATGAAGGATGACTACAGCATCACTGTCAATCACAGCAGCAACAGATGTCCCCAATGCTCAGTGCAGGCTCTCGCCCCCAGCATCTGTCTCCTTGCTGGTCCTCGCTCACAGCACACTTATATTACATACAAGCACACACAGATCTCAGGCAGCTGGATATCCAGCCCTCCGTTTATTGGGCTGCAGCCTATTTGCCATTGTGACGTATCAGAATCCCCCCTACTTTATCTGATTAAAGACCTGCCCTCTGCCACTTGGAGATCTCTAAATGCAAAGAACGTTAAGGAAAATGAAAGAGCCTCGCACACCAGTCCACAGAATTCCCTAATGTCTCTGCTAGCATACTGTCATCACAGAACAAAAGGCTTAGGATTGTATTGGTATGGATCATTTGTCTTGCACTCATCGGAATTCGGCAGCAAGGGCTGGTATAGTTATGTTGCTCTGACTGGTCTTAGCTGAGTGGAATCTTTCTCTGGTTTAATATTAGGATTTACATTTTATCGGGATTGGGTTTGATAGGTAAGACAGCTCAAAACTGTTTAGAATCTAACAGGGCTATTCACAAAAGGGTGATGAGTTTGGAGACGGCAGGAGAAGTGAACAATCTAGGACAACATAGCTGAACTGGAAACATTCTCCAATTCAGCTCACTCTCCAGCTCAGCTATGTTGTTCTAGATTGTTCACTTCTCCTGCCGTCTCCAAACTCATCACCATGAGTGAATAACCCTAATGGTTTTATAACTGCAATTCAAAACACTCTTCTGGATCTAGATTTTATTGAAAGTGTCAACCCACCCATACCTGATATTTCCATATTTACTGCATGCTGGAAGGTTAAAGTGACACTAAACTCAGGAGTTAAATCTTAAAAATACATTCAAGTACCTTAAATATTAACAACAATATATATTATTTGTGTATCACTCGGCTGTAGATCCTCAAATCATCTCAGAATTGGTGCTGACACTGTCCTTCCTTCTGGAGGATGACTACTTTCGTTCCCCATGGTCCCTGTGTGTGTTGTAAAGTAGCCACCGCTCCAAGCTCACTCCCGTGATGGACTGCAATCTCAATACAAATTAGTAAACTCAACGTGAGATTGTAGTCCATCACGGGAGCGAGCGGGCAGTGTCAGCATGAATTCAGAGGAGATTTCAGGATCTACAGCCCAGAGCTACATTTTTATTAATGGGTTTTTTTAATACATTTTTACGATTTAACTCCTGAGTTTAGTGTTTAACTTGAACAGCGTCTGATACGCCTACGTGCAAAAACGATGAATGTACTACATGTTACATATCACCTGCGAATGTTGGCATTTAAAGCGTTGCCTATAGGACATTTTGGGTATTGTAGTTTTTTGCAATTTCACAGGCATTTGCAATTATAAGGCTTGACATGTTTGGTGTCTATTTACCCAACGTGATCTGTTGGTCAGATATCTGGACTTGGGGTTCAAATAAGTCAGTAAGGTGAGCATCTTGACTTTCTAAATATTATAACTCCAATGCAAATTTACATCACTCTTTTCAGAAGTAAATTTCAATTTTGAGGTCCCATCCTCTGGAACTCCCTAACCCAACCTGTCTGCCTATCTCATACTCTGTCCACCTTTAGGAGAAAACTCATCTCTTCAGGGAAGTCTATCCCACCTCTACCTAACCACGGAACTATCACCTTCTCAAGAATCTCATTCCCACACAGCTACCACCTTTTTTTATCACTTTCCCCTCCCTTTTAGATTGTAAGGGCATCCTAACCATCTTGTCTTAAATTGTACTGTAACTGTAATGTCTTCCCTATATTTTGAAGCACTGTGGCACTATATAAATCTTGTATAATAATAATAATATTTTGCTAATAGGGAAATTCCACCTTTTCCACAAATATAATAAATGCACACTTCTTCATAAAAGAAAAAACATGCATTTATTATTTATTTGTATTGGGAACAGAAACATATTGCAACCACAGGTGCAATGCTCTGCTTCCCCAGAGTCTTCCTCCTTTCCCTGTCATATACTCAGTACGGACATACAGTAACTAGGACGGGAGGAAGAATTAATGGACTACATGGTCAGTGCACTTGTATTGCAGTGGCTCATGGGACTTGTGCTATCTCCATTTAGAGATTCTGTCAAAGAATCTGTGAACGGATGAAGCGGCTGTGTGGGCGGAGGCAGGCACATCGGGCGTCATTTTTAAATAATGATAATAGTCTGTGGGGAAAATAATCCCCCATTTAAAGTAAGTGTGGAGTGGGCTTGGGTGTGTGAACAGAGCCGGCGCTACCACACAGGCAACAGAAATGGCGCTGGTGGGGGAGGGCGGAAAAACACCTCCTCACCCAGCTCCCTCTGCTGTCGGCTCTCTACGGCGCTTGCTGGTGCTCTTCCTGCACAGTCCCGGCCGGGAGATTAGCATATGAATAGGCCACTGTTATTTGCATATCAATAAGCTGTGACCCATTCATATGTAAATATCGCTGTACCTTCATATGCAAATCAACGCCCCCCCCCTTCCTGCTGAGGAAGAGAAAAAAACTGCCTGAAGACCGCAAGAACAAGGTAAGTTTAAGTATGTGTATGTTGTATACCTTTGTTACATTGGCGGTCAGTGTGAATACCTTTGTTACATTGGCGGTCATTATGAATACTTTCGTTACATTGGCGGTCATTATGAATACTTTCGTTACATTGGCGGTCAGTGTAAATACCTTTGTTACATTGGTGGTCATTGTGAATACTTTCGTTACATTAGCAGTCAGTGTGAATACCTTTGTGTTACATTGGCGGTCAGTGCGAATACTTTTGTTACATTGGCGGTCAGCGTGAATACCTTTGTTACATCGGCGGTCATTGTGAATACTTTTGTTACATTGGCGGTCATTGTGAATACCTTTGTTAAATTGGCAGTCATTGTGAATACTTTCGTTACATTGGCACTCATTGTGAATACCTTTGTTACATTGGCGGTCATTGTGAATACTTTTGTTACATTGGCGGTCATTGTGAATACCTTTGTTAAATTGGCAGTCATTGTGAATACTTTCGTTACATTGGCACTCATTGTGAATACCTTTGTTACATTGGCGGTCATTGTGAATACTTTTGTTACATTGGCGGTCATTGTGAATACTTTTGTTACATTGGCGGTCAGCGCAAATACTTTTGTTACATTGGCGGTCATTGTGAATACTTTCGTTACATTGGCCGTCAGTGTAAATACCTTTGTTACATTGGCGGTCATTGTGAATACTTTCGTTACATTAGCGGTTAGAGTGAGTACCTTTGTTACATTGGCGGTCATTATGAATACTTTCGTTACATTGGCGGTCATTGTGAATACTTTTGTTACATTGGCGGTCAGTGTGAATACCTTTGTTACATTGGCGGTCAGTGCGAATACTTTCGTTACATTGGCAGTCAGAGTGAATACCTTTGTTACATTGGCGGTCATTGTGAATACTTTCGTTACATTGGCGGTCAGTGTGAATACCTCCATTACATTGGTGGTCAGTAAGAAGGACGTTACATATTGGGCTTCAGAAGAGGATGGTCATTCTTTTCCCAAATTCTGGATATGTGTAGTGTGAGCTGTAACATGGACATCTCCGCTATGCTTTCTGGAATGGTACACTTTGGGGTGTCTTTGTATTGGGGTGCTCCACAGTAAACTATTTGGGGTGTCATTGCTTGTGGCTTCCCATATACAGCACTAGTTCTTCCTTTTTTGTAAAGGCCTCAGAGATAATTGGTGTGACCTGTAACATGGATATCACAGATCTCCTATTAGTTTTGGAGTGCTGCTTTATGGGATGTCTTTGCAGGGCTAGCGCTACCATAAGACTGCCTGAGGGTGCCGGGGGGGCTTGTTTGGTGTCGGGGAATGTGCCCCCCCCCCCCACCGCTGCCAGCTATCCCAGACTCCGCTGTCCTGGCACGCCGGGTCTGTCCACTTGGATCAGAGGGAGATCAGTGCACTCTCTGCTGCTGGTCTCCCTTCCGATCACTGCTGTACCTGGAAGCAATGTGTATTACATCACTTCCAGTTCCAGACTGTCATTTTCTCCAGCTGCTGCAGTCAGAGAAGAAGCTGGGGAAGCAGATTGCTGCTTCATCAGCTTATTTGGGGTCCCTAGGTGACGTTAGGGGTCTGACAGACCCCTCATGTCTCCATAAAGAGGGCTTTTCACATCTTATTTGCTATTACATAGGGAGCTTGTTAGCCCCCCTATGTGATAGCAATAAACTTAAAGTGACATTAAAGGATAATTGTTTTCCCTCCCCCCCAACGTTAATTAAAGCACTTACCTTAAATGAGGTTTCTTAATCCGATCTTCTTCTTTCCTGATGTTTTCATCTGTCCCTTCAGCGGTGCGTCGGCTCTGCAATCCAGCGCTGACTCCTCTCTGCTTGCTGGCACTTCCGATCCAGCGGTGTCTGCATGCGGGTGCACGCGTCCATAGACTTACCTTGCGTCTCCCGGCCGAGAATCCGAACTGCGCATGCGCCCGCCCCAAGATGCTTTGCGGCAGCCCGAAAAGTTTCGGATTCTCGGACGGGAGCGTGCAGCGAAAACATGGTAAGTTTAAAGCGCTAAAGCCTGATGAAGGGACCCTGTGCGGTCCCGAAAGCGCTTGTTTGTTTGGTCATGTGACAAAAAACTTCAATAAATGAAGCTTTTGCTATCTTAAAAGGATTGGTGTGCTGGTGACATTTCTACAATTGCTGACATTCGCGGCGCCATCCGCGGTCACTGCGAGCACCCCCCACTACAAGGGACATATCGGTAAGGAGTGCGACAAGGATAGTATTTATAATCTCATGGGCAAGGGGGACCTCTGATGTGAATGGGGGACTCTGATGTAAGAAAGGGACTCTGATGTGAAAGTGGGACTCTACTGTAAAATGGGACTCTGGTGTAAAAGGGGGACTCTGATGTGAATCGGGGACTCTGATGTGAATCAG